AAATAGAAACTAGTGAAAGAGTTCCACTTTATTTTATTTAGCAATAAAAAATATTGGACAAACTATTCAATAATATGTTGAAATACTAATGGTTATAAATCTCGTCACAGTGCTGTTGTTTCTAAAAGACTAAATGCCATCAGCTGTTTTCAGCCCACATGCATTTTTATTGTTTGTTTGCAGACAAATAAAGGAGTTTAATGGATCAGCTATTGTTGGGAAATAATAAGTTGTGCAGGTTTTGTAAAGTCTGCTACTCCTCCTCATCAGCTGTCTTATCCACAGACAGTTACCCATAAAAGTGTGTGTGTGTGTGTGTGTGTCTGAGTGTGGATGTAGGTTGTGTTGTTTGCTCTATGTGGTGTAAGTGGAATCAAAAGCTATGGGAGAAAGAAAACTAAATGAATGACTCAGCTTAAAGCACTGGAACAAAGTAATGCAATGAATAAAATGAGCTCCTGCTCTCGTCAGACACATGCGAACAGAAATGCGCACTCATACAGGGGTGCATTGAAGCATGCAGGCAGGGCGTGTGAAGAGTATAAATAGCTCTGCATCCTCACTGATGCTATTTTTAAACCTGGAGTCGTGACTGACTGAACCAAGGGCAACACACACACACTAAGAGCAACACTGTACTGGAGGTCTCAGCAGACTGCTGACTTCTTGATATGTTACGAAGGAGTCACTGTCTGCTAGAACATTTCTGTATTTTCAGCTTGTGTCTGTCTTTAGTTTATTGTAATCTCTTTTTGGCAGTGCCAAATTCAAAGCCTTGTTCAGTCATGTTTTTCTGCTTGGTATCGTTTTCTGAAAAGTTCAGTGATGTTGCCTTTCTTTTGGATCGTAACTTACAATTTGCTTGTTTTGTTTCTAATAATAGCCCACTGAGATGTTAATCAGCCAACTGGGTGAACATGCTGTCAGTCTGAACACAAAATCATGTTTTATTTGCTATAATGTAACAAATCAAGTGCTCCTCCCACACAAGATCATGTCTTTTGTTTTTATAATTTGTTTATTAGGAGAAAATGGGAGGTAATTGTTAAGAATGAAGGCTCTGCATTTACGGGTGGTACTGCAGGTGTTAGAGTTGTCACCTCACAGCAAGAAGGTTGCAGGTTTGCTTCTGGGTCTTTCTGTGCGGAGTTTCCATGTTCTCCTCGTTCATGCACAGGTTTTGTCCTGATACATGGGTTTCCTCCCACTGACTAAAAAACCTGCATGTTAAAGATCATTGGTAACTCTAAATTGTTACTCGGTGTGAGCGAGCATATCACTGGTTGTTTGACTCTGTGATGGTCTTGCAACCTGTCCAGGGTGTACCCCGCCTACTGTCCAGCTGGAGATTGGCTCAGTTTCCTCATGACCCAGAGGGGAAAGTGGATAAGGGATGAACGGACAGAAAGAGCGCTACGTAAAAATAGGATTTGCTTATGGTGGATGAAGATCAAAAATGATCTTAAAACACTCAAGATTTTTTTTTATTTTGCTAGAAAGGCATCCCAGAAGAATGGGTTTTCTCTGTGATGTTTTGCTAAAACTTTTCCCTATTTTTACATTTAGCTACTTTATAGCAGCTTGATGAGGCTATTGTCTTGATCATTGCCAGTTTTTAACTTGAAAGTCTGTTTCAACGTTTGTTGGGGTATTGGCTTTCTGTAATGTGAGTCACAGTTCACACACAGTTTGATGCCTGTGGCTGACATTGAACAGAATGTATCAACATTTTACACTGTGTCCAACTGTTTAGCCATCTGACACATCATCAGTTAATAAAAATTATTTGGATCTAATTGCATGTGCATGCGTCACAGAGCGTTCACATGTTTCACTGGTGATGATGTGTGCTTGAGATCATGGACCGTTCTCAGCCCAGTGTAGATTCTCATTTTACAGAACGGGTGTGTTTGGAAAATCCTTTTTGAAATGTACTCGTTCTTTTCTATCATTGATACCTACAAAGGTTTTACACTCTCAAATTGACTTTTTTCTTTTGGAAAATTATATATATATATTATGTTTTCCTCTTTGCTGGGTGTTGGAAAGAGGTTTCATTTAATGTTGAAAATACTTAAATGTTATACTTCTTAATGTTTGCAGAATATATTAATTTGATTTGGCCACTTTTTATCTTTCTGCTACCTTTGGGATGAATCTGTTTTTGTTTAAAACATCATGCTACCAATTTCCCTTTATTAGTGGTTACTTGATTTGTTGCATGACATATGCTTTTGGAGCTAATATAAAAAAGACTGTCACGACTTGTAATAAATATAACTTTAAAATAAGATATTTTCAAATAACATATGGCTTACTGGTCAAAAAGACTTGAGTCATCTTTCATTTCTTTATATTTCATAAATTATTTTATCGCTTCATTTATTTATTATTTCACAAAATCACGTGTGTAATATTGTGTTTGACTTTGTGTGTGAAACCGTGCCAGTTTTTTCAATCTTCTTCAGCTGTGGGGTTGATTCAGGCTCATTGAGGCTGACTGTGCTGTAAAAGCTCTTGTCCAACTGAGGTGTTAACTGGCATAAATAATAAACTGTAATTTAGCTGGAATTGATTGAAAGCCATTCATTAAATGCAGAACACTTTTATTATTTAATCAATTCACCTGAACATGGCATACAGCAATGAAATTACACTTGTTTTGGCATTTTGGGGAGTTTGACCATTGCCTGAACATATGATCTCATGAGTGCCAACTACAGCTGTGGCCTGCCACATGACACTATGCCAAGTAGTGTTTGTGAATATGAGCACAGCACACATATTGTACATCATCCTGCTCAGATCTGCTCTGCTGGAGTTGAATCATGTTGGTTGTGTGACCTTTGAACTTGCATCTGACTTACAAGAACAAATGTCACACCCATGCTGGCAAGCAACAAAGCAGGATGGCAGGAAGTACTTACTCCTGCTTGGTTGTGTTTTTTTCTACGTGGATACATTTTGTGCAGTATTAAAGTCAACATACATGGTGTTGTATTTGTACCAAATATAAATAAGCAATAATTTGTGTAGATATTACTATGTATCTTGTAAAAACAAACCAAAAAACACTTTGAATGGTGTTTATGTGTGTTAGAAAGCTGTTGCAAATTTGCTTGCATACTTTTTTCCACTATTTTAGATTTAATAGTGTCCAGCAGGTGATAGTTTGGAAATTGAATGTTCTTATATCATCAAGGAAGACTTCAGGTTATCAACAGCTTAAGAGCGCTTATTTGTGGGTTTAGAAATACTCCGTGGGTAGTGACATCTGTGCTGGCAGGTGTTAGTGTCAGGGAACAAGAATAAATTAGAACTGGGGGATGTGTGGAAGTGAATGATCTAAACAAGACTAGCCCTTAAAAATCAATCAGAACATTCACCTTTTCTTTCTTTCTTGCCCATGAGGAACAGGGAGCACTGGGATCGTGTCTACTGTTAGAACCCCACTACACTATAGACAAGTCAGTCTGATGCAGAGGGGGACCAAGGGAGTGAATGAAAAATCATTAAAAACACAGAGGAGACTGGAGATAAACAGCTTGTGTATCAAACAGACAGATGAGGAATAGTTTAGCCATGGAAATTTATGAAGTCCTCTTATGATACAAATAAAGTTGCTAAGTGCTAAACTGAAATGAGAGAAGGGGTCAGTTCAAGAATGTTTTTTAACCTTTTTATTATTGGAAGTCAATAAGAGCCACTAGATTTTCTTTTGCAAGCATCTGTATGTCCGGCCAAGAAAGAAGTTATGACTTGGTTTATCTGGGTATGCAATTAAAAATCAACATTTATCAAAATAATAAGCATACACAGCAAATTCCAAGTATTTTGCAGTAGTGATACTGTTTTGCAGCATCAAAGTAAACTGGTGTCAAATGTTAAAAATAGCAAAAAGCCCAAAATGTTGCAATATCATGTAGCCCTTTGCATGTTAGCCATCAGTTAGTTAATAGGTTTACGGCATGCATAGGATTAAAAACAACAGGCCATAAAAACAGTAGTATTCCTGTTTTGTGAGCATTGTTGTAAACCTAATTATCCCAGTGGTTTGAATTTGACTCATCACACAATGCTCCATTTGGCTAGTGAACAGGATGTAGATGATTCTGAATTTTAGGGGGTGTCTGATGTAGGCCCACGTGGCTTTAAAATGATGTATTTTAGAAAAATGCCAAAGAATATTGTGAATGAAGGGCCTTTGAACGTTTATAGTCATGCCTTGTCAGATGAGGTCCAGCTGGCCGTCTCTCATTGAGCCTCAGGTTACATCATCATGACATGTCCCTGTGCCAGAGTGGAATATAGTTGGAGGAAGTAGAGTACATCATTTAGCTGGCTGTCTGGCGGCTGCAACATCGTACTGGCGTATCCTAGCAACCAGTGTGGAAGAAGGGCTCACTCAGGCAAAGCCTCAGTTCCAGCTGGTGATCTCTGAGGAGTCTGTGTGTGTGTGTACGGGTGTGTCTGTTAGCTTGCTGGGATAATAGATGAGTGCTGTAGAAATTAGCGTGCTGGCTCAGCCCTGCAGGGAAGATCAATATCAACTATACATTCATCTCTAATTATCACGGCGGAAGTTAGAAGGGAGCCTTCTTTCTCTTTCCCACCCTCTTGCTCTGTTTCACCATCTTTCTTTCATAAATCCCCACACTTTCACGCTCAAGTCTGCTTGTCTTTCCATTTATTTTTATTTATTTATTTTTTTACTTTTGAAAACACAGACGTGTTTATATGGCACGTGTTTTTTTCCCCTTTCGATATGTTTCCGCTGTAAAATTTGTAGAGCTGTGAAATAAAAATATTGCCTTGTTTGTTGTTCCCTTTCCCATTGTGCACTTTCAAAAATTTTAGCTATAAACTCAGAAAATGCTGAATTTTTCTCTGCTTTTGGGTGATCCACCATCACGCTGCTGTTTCTCCGTCATCACAGTAAAGACATGGCAGTTTGTTATGGTAATGTGACCTAAACCAACTCTTCTTTCTCTTTTTGACAGTGCTAAGTATAGGTGAAGGAGGTTTCTGGGAAGGCACGGTCAAAGGGAGGACGGGCTGGTTCCCTGCAGACTGCGTGGAAGAAGTTCAGATGAGACAGTTTGACCCAAGGCTTGGTAAGACTTCTGGACGTTTATTCACACACAGCTTAAAAAGACATGGTCCATCAAACTTGGAGCTTATGACATTTTGTACCAGTGCTTGTTAAGAAGAGTTTACCTCTTGTTGTAAGTCTATAGTTGTGACGTTTTCATGTAGGTTTCTTTCCTTTTTCTCCAGATGTTAAAAGGGTAACCTAAAATAAAACAGCACTGATATATTTTTAATAGTTTTAGTTTTCCATCTTTTCAATAAACCACATGTGGCAGCAGAGTAGCTCTGCAACAAACATCACTAACAGTCTAAAAATACAAACACTGATTTCAAGATAAAGGCAAGAAGCGAGAGATTTATTAATAACAAAAGTGCAAAGACAACCTCAGAAATCTTGAACAAATCAGTTTCAAATCACTTGAACATGAAAACTACATTGACATATTAAGTTGTATCTTTATGTAAATTATTTATCAATTTATACGTCAGTTAGACCTTTCATCTCTGTTTTCCTCCTCTTTTCAGTCTTGCTCATAAAAATAATGCAAACACAAGTAACCAAAACATGTCTGTTATTTTTTTTATTTGATTTAGATATATTTTAAAAAGTTGTTTGCTATGTATGTATGAAAACAAACATTTTATTTTATTTTGAAATGTGCACACAGTTTTAAATGCAACAAGTTTGCATTGACAGCTCAGCCTTTGCTATTTTATAGGCAAAATAATCCATTTTCTGATTTTTTTTTCTATAGTAGCTGAGATATATTATTACAGGTTTTTTATGTCCCATAAAATTAATATTTTCCAATCTGATTCAAAAATGGCTCTTTCATTTCTAAATTCTGTTTTAAAGGGGTTTCTTGAGAATACTTGTTTTTATAAATGTTTTACCTTAAAATGTTGCAGAAGCCAGTGAAGCTCAATAAACATTTCTCCTCTTCATCAACCTGATTTAATACATAAAGTACTACTGTGCTGCTACAGCAACAAACAAACAAAAAAAAAAAAATAGCTCCACTCCTTTCAATGACAGCTGTGTCTTCTCACATACAAATATATTAGATATAACACCACCAAGCTACCATTCAGAGCCAACAAATATGAGCCAGTACCTGCTCTTTGTTTGTCGTACTGCCTAAAATACACACGTGCCAATCAACAAGGATGATGCAGCAGTGTGAAACTGGTCTAAAACTGAAAACAACAAAAACATGTCTCTTTTTCTTTACTTGAGCTTTTAAGTAAATATATATAGAAACGATTTATATTCATTTCAATTATCTGTTTAATTATGTAGTTTTTGTTTCAAAAACCAAAGTTTTAAGTTTTAAAAATGCAAAAAGAAAATAAAAAAGTTTAACATTTTAAGTGACTTTTTAATTGAATGTTTGTTTTCTATCCTAAATTATGTGGCTTCGTCACAATATTCCAACTACTATACTCAGCGTTTTTATGTTAAAATACATGTTGTTTGCCAATAAAAATGTTTTCACAAATGCATAACATTTGACATTAAATACCAACATTGAAAAGTCCACTAATCACTTTCTTCCTGCTTCATTTGTTGACATTTGCCTTCCATGCTGTCCTGTTTCCACTGGGCTTTTAGGGGCACTTCATTAAAACCTAATTCAATGCAGGTACACCAGAAAGATTGGTTAGTTTAACAAAAGTTAAGAACATGTGGACAATTAGGGAACATTTTTCATAGGATTCACCAGCAAACAACCACTTGTCCCCATGATAGAAGTTTTCTACATTAAAAAAAGTTGCATTTTTTTGTGACTGTAAACTTAAGGGTAAGGTGATACTCCATCCTGATATTTTATCTCCAGCAATCATTGTACAAGAGGCAGGGTACTGTATAGCCAAGTTATGTCAAAAGTCAATGATCCTGCAATATAATTTAAAAGTCAAATCCTAAAAACTATCAGTAAACGTTTTTTGTAGTACAGTTTTTGTTCTAATAGGTAAAAAATAACCTGTCATAACCACAAAGTTTAGATTAGGCGTATAACATTTACAGATTTTTTTTTTTTTATCTTGTTACAACATAAATACTTGTGCCATTTCTTCCATGGCATTCCTTTCTTTGATTCACACTAAAACTTAATTTTAAAAATACTAAGCAAAAGTTTAGTGAGACTGTAGCTATGAGACATTACAAACATTCTTCAGTCACTAAAAGTTTGCATAAAATATTTGTTTATAATTTTGGTCTGAAAAGCAGAGGACAAAATGCATTTTTGTGTTTTTATTTTAGGATATTTTATGGTTGCTTTTGTTTTTGATGTTTAATCCTTGAAGTGAAGGATGCCACAGTTGCACATATCTGGAGAAATACTCTGATATTTGTAAAGACTAATGTTGCTTTGAACCATCTCTTTAAAAGATAATTGCTGCTGCACTAAGGTTTGATGCTGTCTACATTAAGCATGTACACAGAAAGAGCTTAACTAAGAATAACAACACTAAAAAAAAAAAAACATTCAGGCACTGATGATGATCCCTACCATCTGTGAAATACTCTTTCCTACCATGATAACCAGATAATTCATGCTATGGTAGCAGAAATTATTGTAAACATTGTAACTTTTGTAAACAATTGGGGATAAATCAGATTCATGTGGCCATATTCCAGCTTAAACAGTAATTTTACTAACAGATGGCACATTTTGTTTGGTGTGGTTTCAAGGGCAACAATGCGTGTGGCACTAAACTCCACAGAGCATCATAAAGAAACATCATGGAAACCATCTGGCCATCTCGTGGGATTGTAGCACTGCAGCACATACATATATTTGAAAAAGGACAAGGACATGTTTTTGTCATAAATATCCTCCTTGTTTCTTATTTGTCAGATGCCTCCGTTGGCATATTTCTGAGGCAGCTGAGTCCTTTTCCTAGTTCGAAACATTGTTGAGGGATTGAGGTTACCTGAAACTAGGTGTAAAGAGATGAGAACAGCTGGAATATCTAAAGACCCAATTTAAATGCATTGTGAGGAAAAAAATAGGGAAAGGTAGGAAAGAAAGGGCCAGATAGCCAGGGAGACAAATGGTGTAGTATACTCTAAGAGACAGCAGAGTAGAGATGGTGAGGCATGTCTTTGAGGAAGAGAGGGAAGAAAGGAGAGAGGAAGGACAGGATGGGGGTTTGATACTGATGTTCAACTCAATCATAAATCCTGAAAACTTGAACTCTCATATATCGTTTTTTTGTTTGTTTAAAAAGTGCTCCAACTGTCCTTATCCATCCTCCCAGACACCGTTTTTTTTTCTTGCATTTATGTGAATTATAATTTAAACCACATTATATATTATTGAATAAAATACATCCTTCTTAAATACATATTTTGTAATAATCTAAATAATTAATTCAAACTAATCTCATCCTGATATTTATCAGGAGAGATGCAACATTAGTGCATCACAGGATTACACAAAAACATTTTCACTGGGACACACACACACAGAGAGTTGTTTATCTGGAGTCAGCCATTGAGACGTTACTGACAGTGAGGGCAATGTGTCTCAGCGTAGTGAAGCAGGAAAGACGGCATGCTCCACAATTAGGTAACCCAAATACTATTAAGTGTTCACTCTCGTTCCCACTGTCTCTCAGTTTCTCTCCACCACTGCACATCATCATGAGCCATGACTCTGAAAGTGGTATCTCTTTATCTGTCCCTGCCTCCGTCTCTTCTCTGCCAGGTTTGAAAGAGCAGTGATGAAAAATTGCGGGGGAGTGGGAGGGCAGAATAAAAGTAGTTTCAGTCAGAGGGACAGAAAATGAAAAAGACAGTGAACGGAAGCAGGTGGCCATGTGAAAGAGGCAGTTTAAACTATCTCTGATTCTTCTGGCTCTTATCTGTCACCGCTCTGCTCCTCTCTCCCTCAGCACAGCCAGAGCTGCCCACAACCAGCAGTTCATCTTCAGCCAATGCTTGGGGACAGAGAAGGAGGGGTGATGGGACACAAGGGCAAATTGTAGCAGCTAAAGACAAAAAAAAAATAAAGCGACGTGCAACAAAGACAACACGAGCAACTGATAACAAAAAGAAGGGCAAACAACAGAGAGTATTGATTGATTCCATTAAGGCTGCAATGAGTGATGGTAAAGTGCTGATATGTGGCTGTGGGGAGTGATGTGTCCGCATTTTAATGATAAACCATTTGATGTTTAAAGTTAATAAACAATAACACGGAGACAAGAAGAAGAACGTTTAATAGTCACACAAAAATGAAGCTGAATATTTTCTCCCACTTTGCTCAGTCTCTGTCACATGTGCACACAGCACACATGCTGCTGGCCTCTTTCTTGGGGCTAATAGTCGATGTTTACTCGCAGCAACAGAGGGGATAATGATGTGACTATTAACTGCTCTTCCTTATCTAATGATGCAAACAAATTGTCATGCCAGTCATTTTCTGCAGTGTCACTGTTAATCTCTTTTTTACAATCTGTTGGGATGTTTCAGCCCTCCAGCGGGAAAACCATGACCCTTGTTTGTTTTCTAGTTTAAAAAAAACCCACAGTAATACAAATAACCTGCCCTGCGTCATTTCCAAAGCCCTTTTTTGGAGGGTGTCCTGCAGTGTTGAATGTTCTCAAAGAGCATTGCAACCTCTCACAGCATTATTAAATTCATTGTTTTATCTAAAGGAAAAGCAACACTTTTCCAAACATTTTTTAATGGGCACTTTGTTAAAAAAAGTGCAAATATGTATTTATGTTCAGGCTTATTCTCTTGCTCTTTCTTCATAATGGCACAATTGAATGACTCACAGCTGCCTGAATCAGCCCAGTCAGATCCAGCCTGAGCTATTTTTAGCCTGCCCATTAAGAAGTTTTGGAGTGTGTCTGCACTCCCTCAGAATGCTTAAGCATGAATGTTGCAGCAGCAGCCGGCACAGACATGAACAGGGTCTTTTAAAGGGGAGGGTAGCAAAGAGAGATGAGCAGTGAGAGGGAGATGGTGCAGCGGATTGCAGACGGATCATACAAAAGGTCAACTGGT